CTCGACCCCCGCCGCTCGCTACGCTCGTCTCGCGGGTGTCTCGTGCGCGGGATCCGGAGGCAAAGAAGTACTGCTCAGGCGAGCTACTGTAACTGTATGCCGGAGGACGTCGACGCCAACTCTCGGATCCTGCAGCCCATTTACGTGGCGGTGCATGCGTCAGCGTCACATCACGTCGTAACTTCCAGGCCAAAAGAGCACAGCCTGTGACTTCTTGTGACATCGAATCACGCCTCGAAGCTGACAATTACTGGTTCTGAAACCTGGTCCTAACGGAACCAGGAACATGCGAACACGAAAAGTTCATTGAATAGTATCTAACAGTCATGGTTTGCCTGAAGCTTACGAGACAAGAGAACATTTAATGACATGATATTGGATGGTGGAGGCATCTACATTTACGTAGGATGGCATTGTCCCGAGAGTGTCCTCTCACTCTACGTCCTCGCACCAGGCTCCTGGTACGACCATGTCGTGGTGAGGATCAGAGGGGGTACGAGGGACATCGCCGGTAGCAAGGAAGTTGTCCAGACGCGAGGATGATAATGCATCATAGACTACCCCGCCACGCGAGAGGAGTAGTCTCACAACCTCCTGGCGCTGGAGCAGTTGTTCATGGAATACATCCCAAATTCTCTCGGAGAGGCGCTCCAGCGCATACGAGAGCGGAGTGAGGCCGCACTCCGACTGCACGTTCATGTCAACGCCGTGACGAAGGAGAATGTCGACGACTTCGGCGGTGCTGTTGTAACTAGCAGCGTGCAGGGCCTTCCACGATCCTTCCTGGGTCAGCTTCATTCTCGATGGTGGCATGGAATCTCCATTTGGGTCACCGCCTCGAGCAAGCAATAGGGCTACCGGCTCTACTTGTCCCCATTGTGCGGCCGCTTGCACTAGCGGCGTCTCGCCGTCATCGAAGTGCGCATTCACATCCACACCGGTGTCAAGGATGATGTTGATGAGTTTGGGTCGGTTGCAACATATTGCCCTGCTCAACCACATCATCATCTCTTCCGGATCTACTTTCGAATGCCACATTTGATCCCGTTCCATGATCCACTCAAAAAGCATCTCTGCTACATCGAGCGCGATGGTGGAATCACCATCGGGTCTTGATGGGGACATTGCAAACGAAAGAGTTGAGAACCCATCGCCTGTAGTAGAAGATGCAGAGTCCGAGTGAGGAAGGCTTGCGTCCGCACCGTGCTGCAGAAGAACTCGGACCGTGTCACTTGAAAGTGAGAATAGTAGGGCCTTGTCCAGTGCTGACGTATCGCCTCCGCACTCCGACATATCAAGCGGGGTATTGACGTCGACACCAAGGTGGATCATCGACTGCAAGACTGCGGTGTTTCCTACCATCGCGGCGATGTGCAGAATGATAGATCGTGCAGACATCGATGCATCCACAGCGGCCCCCCGCGCAAGCAGTATCGCCGCGGCCTCGTGTTGATCAGACATCGTGGCTGATGCGAGCGGCGTTACGTTGTACCTCGCAATTGCATCAATGAAGGCGCCGCGGCTGAGCAGAAGTTCAATCGTTTCGACGTGGCCGTCTAATGCGGCGAGATGAAGGGCGGTATAGCCGGATTTACTCGTAGCGTTTACATCCACTCCTTCATCGATGAGAGTAGAAACTAGCGCGTGGTGCCCGTTCTGAGCAGCTGTCAGAAAGCCGCGATGGTCTTGGGGGGAAGTCTCGACAGAGTAGTATCCGGGGCTGAAAGAGGACCACGGCCAAGACTCGTGAATATCTATGCGGGTGAAAGTCTGGACTTGGGTCTCCCATCGTAAGGGGATCCGGGGGGGCTGACCATCGTCCACAGATGAAGGCAGAATGTGAGAAGGTCGCATTGGTCTAAAACGGCATGTCAGAAAGATACTTAGTCTACATTACTGCTACACCACAGACCTAATGGATCGGGGGTATCTTCCCCGATCGGCCGAGAAATCTATAGCATTGGATGCGCTTGAGGTAGATCCGCTGAGAATGGTCGTCCCGTGTTCGCGAAACATCCTGCCTTTTGTGCCCTTATTGAACCGCCTTCCACAGGTGATACTATATCGACAATCAGTATCGGGAAAGTATGAGAATGTAGCATCCCATCGTGTCTATCTCACCAAGCGAAATATTCGTTCCAATATGCGACGTTATGACGACTCAAGGTTTGGACGGGGCAGATTGGACACGTGAGTTCACCGACGGAGGATGATAGCAGAGTCTCTTCCGATTGAGACGGCGCCTGCATCACAAGAACGGCCATTTCCAGTTTTGAGCCGGGGATGACGATAGAAGCCCAATTGATAGCGTCGATAGGGTATAGACGCTGAGTTATCTCATATATAGAAGGATGAGGACTCAGCAATAGGCGAAGAGTATATCTTCGTGAGTCAATGAACCAGCGACCATTCGTCTGTGCGAACAGGTTCACCAGTGTGCTGTGAAACATCTTATGTTATTGTGAGTATACTTTGTAAACCCGAACAGCTGTAATGCAGTACACCAACCTCGTAAGTCCCACAGAGCTCGAAAGGAAGCGTGAGCTTTCGACCAAGCGCATCAAGCAGTGTGACCGAGTTGATCTCCGAGTATGCCACGTCTAGCGCAAGCGCATGATCCCGTTTTCCTGAAGACCTCGAAAGGAGGTAGATCAAGACCAGGAGGAGAGCCTTTGGGGTAACTTGATCATATGGGCCCATGGCACAGATGGCGGCGCATAGCACAGCGATCACAGCCACTTGGCTGTCCACACCCTCTGGAAGACATTCGTATAGATCGCGCACGAGGCCATCATGTCGGTGGGGGGTATTGCGCCGTCGGATTGCGAGCACGGTGTGACGATGGATAGTATCGGACAGATCGCCGTGCTGCGAGACCAAAGCGTCCATTTTGTTCAGGACGTTCGTGCGGAAGCTCACAGCTCCGTTCCTATGCGAAAATGATCAGCATATGGTGCTTGAGGGATTGAGAGAGGCTCTCACGTGTGAGAAAGGACAAACAGCATCGTTAATCGCTGAGTCGCCGTCGCGAGCTCCTGCCGGAAAGTTTGCGCTTCGTCTCGATGCTTGAACCGCCACACAAGCTTATATCGGTTCCTCCTGAAGCGATCGCGCATCCCGCTCGTGGAACCAGCGTCGTCGCTTAGGGCAGAGAGATCGGCCACACGTGCGAGAGAAGCCTGGACGTCACGGCCGCACTGGTCGACGTTGCGGATGATCTCCTCGCGCAAGACAGGGTCGTCCGTGTTCTTGGCGATGCGCGTGGCGGTAAGCAGTATCGCGTGCAGGCTGTTGAGCTCTTGGTTGAAGGCGCGATATTCGGCTGGGGCGCCGCGGGCGTCATTCAGCGCACGGACTACGTCGATGACCAACTCTGCCAGAGCTAGGATGTCGCCTACGGCGTTGCAAGTGATCGGAACCATGCTGTTCGCGAGAGTAAATAGTCCGAGTCACAGGGCGCAATGACGCAGGACGAGAGCGATCGGGGAGATGATCAGGAGGCTGGAAGGAGGACCGTAGGGCGGAGACGTGAGGGGCGGAAAGAGGGCCTTGGGATCCGGTTCGGTACTTATCGTGCCTACAGGTAGCAGTCCGCTTCGCGGGCATTCACTCGGCTGTGGCATTCTACGCTCGTGGTGAGCGCGAGGCTTTCATATGCGCCTCGTGTATGAGGGAAAGTGTCAGGATAGACGCTGGCATGGAGATGATAGGACGCTGTGCCTGCCGTACACAGCAATTTACAGAATTGTGCCGTTTACATGTGCACCCACGGATCGATGAGTACCTGAGCATGATAAAGTATGCATTTGGAGAGGACGAGAAGCTCTGGATGGTGATGGTGAGAGGCAACAGGAGACAACATACTTATTACAAGCACCTGTATTCTCACGCGGTTCCTGGCGGCTTCCGCGTTCACCCGATTCTTGCGTACCTCTCAAGAAACCACCACATGTACTATGATGGTCGACGACGTATCCCGTCGGCAGATGGCAATGAACGAATAGCAAAATATGCACTACATGTACCTCATGACTCGAGCTTGGCCGTACGCGCCATAAAGAGTGGACGGCTATAATCTCCGGCTCGGTCTTAGCACAGACCTCAAGCTGAGTACTACTGTTCTCCAGCAACTTGGTTTTCGTACTCGAGGTTAGAATCTGTCTAGTCCTCCAGCCTCTCTGTTCTCAAACCAACCCTATAGAATCCCAGCGTCCCATGCTCCGGAGAAACCCCCTCTCAACCTCCCACCCACACCCCCCCACCGCGCGCACCATGTCAACCCACACAGCCCGTGACAGCCTCACTCTCGCCCTCCCGGACGGCCGCACCATAGGCTACGCCGAATACGGGCTCCCAACGGGCTACCCGATCCTCTATTTCCACGGCTTCCCCGCCTCCCGCCTCGAAGCGCGCGGCACATCCGCCCTCGCGCGCCGGAAAGGCCTGCGCATCATCGCGCTCGACCGGCCAGGATTCGGACTGTCGACGTTCCAGCCTGGACGGCGCATCGTCGACTGGCCGGTAGATGTTCGAGAGTGCGCCGGCCAGCTGGGTTTGCGGCGCTTCGCGGTGCTGGGTGTATCGGGCGGCGGGCCGTACGCTCTTGCGTGCGCGCATGCGTTGCCGAGGGATATGGTCTCTGCTGTTGGATTGTTCGCGAGCGGTCCGCCGTGGGCAGCAGGGAGACAGCACATGTCGCGCGGGCGGAGAATGCTCGCGTTCGCGGCGACGTACTTCCCTGCGGTCGTGCGCGCGGTCAGCGGTGTCGTTGTGGGAATGGCGCGGTGGATCGTGAATAGTGGGCCTGTGGCGCGGAGGATAGATCAGTGGATCGAGAGTTTGGACGCGAAGAAGAAGAAGGACGATGATCGGAGGGATGGAGAAGAGGAAGAAGAGCTCACGATCCCGCAACGGCGCCAACGCCTCTTGCGAATGGCATTCGAAGCCTTCGTCCAAGGCCCGCGCGGCTTTGTACACGAAACGCAACTCCTTGTCTCTCCCTCCTGGGGCTTCAACTTCGAAGATGTCACGTATGACAACGTGCAGGTGTGGCACGGTGCCAAGGACACGTTCGCGCCGGCGGTGATGATTAGGTGGATGGTTGAGAGGTTGCCGCATGTTCAGTATAAGGAGTATGAGACCGACAACCATGTCAGTTTGGGCGATCATTTCGAAGAGGTGTTTGGGGAGCTTGTGCCGGAGGAGGTGCTGGAGAAGCATCGTGCGGGCGTCAGGGAACGGGATGCTTTCGCTCAGTCTAGTAGTTAACCTTCCCATTAGGTCACAGTGCTCGTATAGTTGCAAACATCTAGCTTGATTACTGCCTAATGAATATACCTGTCATGAGCCGATCTTAGATAAGAATCTGTCTGTACATCCGCGTATCAAGTTTGAGCCTCAAGTACTGGTGGCATTTCAGCCAGTGTGCTCGTGGAGGCGTATAGAATGCACAAGATGCTTTAGCAACTTCTAGCCATCGAGGCATCTATTACGTGACAGAAGAACCTGGAGGCGGCGGGTTGGAACATGATAAGCGCCGAGCGCCGAGACGCCCTAAGTATTCAAGAGCATCGCAGCTCTGGGCAGGGTACCGTGGTCCATCCAGATCCTACAGTGTACTTGTGCACAGCGTGATTGAGCATGATGCACAGGCTCTCGGACGGTAGTTGAGCTTGTATTGCACATAGATATAGCAATAGCAGGGCAGCCCTCGCCGTGGTGGTGGTTCAAGCCAACTCGGACTCACCGCCGGTTTACAACCCTTTCTCTCACCACCGTCGCTGCTATTGCCGCCCATCATCTTTTCTTGGACTATTCGCACACACAGTGACTATAACCTTCACCACACTATTCCTTCTCTGCGGTTACAAGCGCCCGAATTACGCGTCGCGCCGCGTCAGGCCGCGTCCCAACGCGCGCCTCCCTCCAACGCCGAACGAGATGGGGTCCAGGGTATGGTAAAGGCGATAGCCCTCCCCGACACGTCTGTGCCCGCGCCGCGACTACGACGGAACATATCGGGCGCACTGCTCGTGCAGGGTTCTCGATAACACACCCCTCCTCCTCGGTCGGAGAAACCCAAGCTCTATCCACATCATCTTCGGCACCGTCGGCTATGCTCGTCCCACCGAACCCTTCAAGCTCTTAACGTCTGATATCGCGGACTGGTACAAATTGGGTCTTACTCCTCCTGGCTCTTTATCAGAGGTGTCCACCAAAATCGGCATACACTCCCTCCCTTCTTGTCCTTACGCTGAACGCGCGTACGGGGCCCACACGCGCAAAGATCTGGCGATGTACGGCTGGATATAGACTATGGCGATCGGGTGGAGCGTATGCCGCCTCCACAACTCGACAACACTCCATCCCAATTCCGGCTCAACGTCGCGCGCGCAGCGACGCGCCCTACCCGCACGTCTCGTATCGCATTTCAACACACCCATACTGAGCCCGGTCCACGTCGGCTTGGCGGACGGGTCGCATGCTCCTGGAGCTGGACATGGGTTGCCGCCAGCGCTGAGGGCAGCCCCGTCCCACCGTTCGCAAGCAAGATGCACTCAGTACACGTCCATGGAGGATAGGATGCGCACGTCGAAAGCTGAACACGAGATGCGCGCTCGGCGCCCTTGTCGGCATTCGGTGGCGCGTCTGCGTGGACGGGCTCTTCAAACTTCACACCTCTCCTCGCCCAGCTGCTGTACTGCAGTCTCCGATCTTCAACACGGAATACAGTGCACGCGTTGCCAGCGCAGCTCCTCCCGCCTCTTCGCAAACACAGGCCTCTCGAATCGATGTGTACTGGAGACGAAGCTCAAGATGGTGTACAGCCGCGATACGCATAGATGCTGGTCGAAAACGCTGGTACGTCGTGTTTTCCCCTCTACTGCCCCTAGTGTGTTACACAAGTACCGGCCGCTTCTTCCTCACGCACGTTTCTGACAAGTACCTTGCTTAGGGATCTGATCAAACCGGGCAGGATGCTGTGCTACTCACGAAAGCGTCAGGACCTTGCTTTTCGAATTTTTGCTTGCCCTCGAAGTGGTAGCGAAGGCCATGGGAACCAGCGGAAGCTCAAGTGCGCGCTGGACCAATTAAAGCTGCCAGGCCCAGTCGGCACGAAGGCGGTCGGGTGTAGGGTTAGGGCTGGGATCACGATCACATGACTTTCCCTTTCGTATATCGCATGTCGTTTCGCTGGAGTACACACGCGTGTTCTTTTGCGATATACTCATGACTGACTCTCCGAACGTAGCACTCGACTCCCGGCTGTTTATGGCTTGATATCGGTCATCTCGGGACGGTGTTGATCGCGATGTTCATGCTACGATTCTTCGCCCCGCTGCGACCTATGCATGTTGAGCCTAACCATCCAATATCTACAACATGATACGCGCTTTTGATTTGGGCTTGTTCATGTACGCAATCTATTTATCTGTTACAAAACGACCCGAGAATACATGGTATCCGATCTCAGAATCCCGCAACGTCACCCCTGCTTCGACACGAAGGAAAGGACCATATAGAGGTCATCTCCGAGTTCACCGCCTGCTCCGACCCTTACGAGTCCTCACGCCATGCGCCCGGGATGTCCGCGTCCGCAAAGTTATCCGGTGATCTGCCAGTTTGGATCGACTCTCCCCGCAATAGCATGGACGACTTCTCATCTGGTACGGCACCCCAGGCTAGAAGAAGATCTGCCTTTCTCTGGTAGTCTTCCGCTTCCGAACGGCACCATTCGTTGCCCCACGTTTTGAACCAGTTGAGACGTTTTTGTGCCTCATTCAGCGCTAGGAAAAGAGGTGTATTGCCGTACAAAGTAGAAATGTTCACGCCGGCGCCTCGCTCTAGTAAGAGTTTCACTGTCTCATGTCCCATCGGTGTACCCGCTGCCAATGCCAGCGGAGTATGACCGTACAGAGGGCGCGAGTTGACGTCAATCCCAGTCTGTAGGAGTGATGCGATGAGCTGGTGGTTCCCGCTCTTGACGGCCGCCTGTAATAGACCAAGTCCTCCCCTGGGCCACCATGCAGACCAATTGAGTGTCACTTCGTCCATACGCTCTGGCGGGATGAGAAGCCGAAACAGCTCATGCCTCCCTGCAGCCATTGCAATTGAGAGTGGAGTGTCGCCGTACTCAGACCGTGCAGATATGTCTGCACCATTTTGCAAGAGCACTCTAATGGTCTGTCTTCTAGGGGAAAACACGTCGTCTTTATCACACGCGGCATGCAGTGCCGTCACACCACTAGCTCCCGCACGCGTGTTGACATCTGTGCCGAGCGACAGAAGGATCCGGACTACGCGGATATGCCCAGATTGCGCAGCATAATACAATAGATTGGCCTGTGAAGGCATCGAAAGACCAGAGAGAGCATCTCGGGAGACAAGCAGTTCCGCAACATCGGTATTTTCGTATCCCAAGGCGCAGGCGAGGGGCGTCATTGAGTCTTCCGCGACTGCGTTGATGATGGCGCCATATTCGAGTAGCAAGTCGACAATGGAAATATGACCACCCACGGAGGCAGCGTGAAGCGCCGTGTGACCCGACGGGTCAGCAACGTTGACATCTAGGCCTCCTGCAAGTAGTCCGTTGACCATGTCATAGTGGCCGTTGCGGGCGGCCAAGTGGAGGTCGATCTGATATTCACGAGAGTAACCAGTAATACTCCACATGACCCGGACCTGTATGCGCGTGAAGGGGTGGATCTGACTATACCAGTCTAGATGTGGATGGCTTGCAGCAACGCTGACAGCCTTGTCTACAGACGGCTGCGAATTCAATAGAAACGTCCCAGCCTTGAGTAAGGTTGTCTCCGATCCGGTGGTACGGTATCGAGGTGAGGTTTTGGGGCTGAGACACAGGTATGTTAGAAGTCAAGTACAGAGATTTTGATGTTCACGAACTTGGCAAGCGGAAAGACTACTCTGCTGTCGTCGAACTCAGGGCTGTGGCGAAACAGAGGATAGTCATAGAAGTCGCATATCATAGTCCGTTCGCAGTGTGTACTGAGGTGAGGTTAGTGCTGGCAGATGCAACGTGAACTGTAGACAGATTACCAATACGAAGTTTCGTGACCGTGGTTTTTGATCTCGATCACTTGTGGTTTCTCAGTGACACCTGATAATGGGCAGATTGGACACCCAACACCGTTGGAGTCACTTGACATGAAGATAACCATCTCAAGTTTGTCACCCGGAATGCACTGCAGTCCATCCATCAAATCACGCCACTGCTGTCGATAGCCCCCTTCACCGGTGCTGGTGATCATATACTTGCGCGAATTTATGAACCAAGAACCCGAGGTTGGAGAAAACAAGTTGACGAGGGTCGCATGAAGAAGCTGTCGTGTCGTCAGCGGAATGAACAAAATTGTCGAAGAGATACCATGTACACACCTCGGAAGTGGCGCATAGCTCAATCGGTAACACCAGTTGGCGGCCCATCGCATCATCCAGAAGGACGGAGTTGGAATGCGTGTACTGAACGACGGGTACAACATCGTATTGGTCCCGAACCATGCCGCTCATTAGTATTGCAAAGACTAAGAGAAGTAGACCGTGCTGGACGGCTTGCGGTGCATCATGCATCGTGCACATCGCGACGCATAGCAACGCGGCGGCCGCGGCCTTGCTGCTATCGATCTTGTCCAAGGATGTCCCGGGCACAGCAGAAGACTACAGCGATTCGACTTTGTGAGAAACTCATCCCACACGAGAGATGTGATAGCTGCTCACAGATTGCGCGGGAGAAGAGAACTGTCGCATCAGCGACATGCACATCCGGGCGCTCATGGCATTGAACTGCCCCTGAATCGATACTCCAAGGTTGTGAATGTCGTCGCTTTGTCCGAAGAAGTCAGTGCATGCATGACTAAAAGAGTGTCAGTAGAACTCACGCATGGGAAGTAACTAGATATATCGTGAGTCGTTGTGTCGCTCTCGCAATCTCCTCCCGAATGCTTTCGACGTTCCCGCCGAACTTCAGCCACTTGAGCTTGTACCACTGCCGCTTGATTCTGATCCGGATCACGTCCTCCGAAGATGCATCGCGACCGAGGTCGGAGAACCGAGCGATGCGCTCGCGCGCGCTGCGTACTTCGCTCCCGCAGCGGTCGACCTCGCTGAGGATCTCATCGCGCAGAACTTCGTCGGAGGTATATTGAGCTACGCGGCGACCGATGCGAGCACGATGTGCAGCGACTTGAGCTCCGAGTTGAGCGCGCGGTACTTGGCGGGAGAGCCGCGGCTTTCGTTCAAGGCGTGGGTTATGTCGAGAACCAGGGTCGCTAGGGCAAGGATATCGCCCACGGCGTTGCAGGTGATAGGGATCATGGCGCGCAGGCAGAAGATGAGTCGAGAGGGGCAAGAAGAAAGACTGAGGGAAGAGCTTGCTGCGGCGGGTCCTTATCGTCGACACACAAGGACTGGCGTACTAGCTATCCCTCGAGTTGCATGGATTGGGCCGGGAGAGGATGCGATCCCGAGGACGAGCGTCTTAGGAACTCTCACGTTTCATAGTTTGCGGCTCATGGCAACTACATGCCATAGCGCTCTGGCATCAAAAACTTTCTTCAGAGTCATTCTTCAAAGCTTCATGAGAGAGAGATAGGTGGAAGAGTATGTATCGCATTCAGAGCGCGCGCCGTTCATGGTGGTCGAAGGGGAACCACTGCGATCAATCCCAGCCTGGCATCAACCTGGCACCTGACCGAACGTACGCAGGCGTACGCCGAACGCCGAACAGCGCCGAACGTGAATGCGTGAACTCCGAGAGCGCACCTGTTTGCCGTGATGCGTGACCCTGAAGCCTCCACTCTCTGTCTGACTCTCTAGCCATCTTCTGCCATCAACTGCACGAACCCCGTCTCGCGCGAGCAGGACTGGAGCCTGGCAGGCCTGAACAGAGGCGCCTTCGCGCACCCGCGCCGCTCGCCCAACCTTCCGCCCTGGCCCGTCAGGACACCTCTCTTCGTCTGGAGAAGCCCCGCATCGGGCTCGCGAGCTCTACCCACATTATGTATGGCGCCGTCGTGTGAGTCCATTTGCCCGAACCTGATCAACCGCGTCTTACCGCCTGCTAGCCTCAAATTCTTGATGTACAGCATCGCCAACCGCACGGACTGGCGCCATTCCTCCTCCTCGCTCTCCATCACCCGCGCCTAACAATATGGGCGTATACTCGCTTTCTTCTCGTTCTTACGCTGAACGCTCGTACGGGGACCACACGCGCAAACATCTAGCGACGTAGCGCTGGATATAGACTATGGCAATCGGCTGGCGCGAATGCCGCCTCTCCAACTCGACAACACTCCATCCCATTTCCGGCCCAACGTCGCGCGCGCAGCGACGCGCCCTATCCGCGCATGGCTCGTCGCATTTTAACCCACCCATACTGAGCCCGGTTCACGTCGGCTTGGCGGACGGGTCGCATGCTCCTGGAGCTGGACACGCGTTGTCGCCGGCGCGAGGGCAATCCTGTCCCGCCACTCACAAAGAAGACGCACGCAGTACACTTTCACGGCGGATAGGATGCGCACGCCCAGGCCGAATGCGAGATACGCGCTCGTAGTTTGCGGGATCAGCCGTGCCGTCTCGCTGAGAGACCCAGTTGGTCCAATACGGGCTTCAACTGTTGCTGCTTCCGATCTCAGTTGTCACCAGTCGGAGGTCGAGCGAGGTTCAAGGCTTGGCGCTCAACACTTCTTGGGAGGCTGTACGGCTCGTCTGGATCTTGAGGGTAGCACAGACGCCCTTGATTGCACTCGATGGCGCCTCTGCCTTGGCGGGCTCTTCGCGCCTCGCCTCATCCAGCCGCTGTACCGCAGTCTCCGGTCCTCGACACTGCGGCGGAACACAGTACACGCATCGCTAGCGGACCTCCTCCCGCCTCCTCGCACGCACGGGCCTCTCGCATCGATGTGCATTGGAGACGAAGCTCAAGATGGTGTACAGTCAGGATAGCTATAGATGCCGGTCGAGAAGTTGGTACGTCGTATTGTCTTCTCTGCCTCCCCTAGTTGGAACGCATACCGGTCGCTTGACCGGATCACCCAACATCCTTCTCCATCCTTCTCGTTCTTTACGCGCGTTTCTAATACTTTGCCTAGCGTCGCGGGATCTGAACAGACTGGGCAGATGCTGTGCTTCTCAAGGAGCGTCGGCCGCAGAACCTTCCTTTTCAAACTTGCTTGCCCTCGAAGTGGTAGTGAAAGTCTATGGGGACCATCGGAAGCTCAAGTACGCGCCGAGCCAACTAGACCTGTCAGTCCCTGTTAACACGAAGGTAGTTGGACTTAGGGTTAGGGTTTGGTTACCACGATCACATGACTTTCATGATCGTCTGGCGCCAGTCATCGCAAGAGTATACACGCGTTTCATGCTGGGTCTAACCCCTTAAGATCTACAACATCATACACGCCTTCTGTAAAGCTATGCCAATGTATTCAATCCGGTCGTCTAGTACATAATGATACAACTTCACTACATGCTCAAAGTCCGCAACGTCAATACTACTTCGACACGATTGAAAACCCTACAGAGGCCGATCTCCGATATCACCGTCTGCTTCGACCCTCACTGGTCCTCGCGCCATGCACCCGGCATACTCGCGTCATATAGGTTGTCCCACGGCCTGTCATACCAAGTCGCGTTCGCCCGCATCAGTATAGACGACTTCTCGTCTGGTATGGCACCCCAGGCCAGAAGAAGCTCCGCTGTTCTTGGGTCGTATTCCTCGGACAAAGGGTAGTATCCGTTGGCGGGCCGGGAGGGGGATTTGCGATAATGTTTAGCAGTTGTGAGTGCTATACAAAGAGGTGTACTATCGTCCGGAGTAGGAGCATTGACGTCAGCGCCTCGCTCGAGCAAGAGCTTCACAATCTCGTATCGCTCAGGGAACCGGAGTGTCAATGACAGCGGAGTATCACCGCCTCGTAGGCGCGAGTTGATGTCAATCCCAGTCTGTAGAAGTGATGCGATGAGCTTGCAGTTGCCGAAGTCAACGGCTCTCCAGAGTAGATCAAGTCCTTCTCTAGGCCACCACGCGGACCAATTGAGCGTCACCTCGTTCTCGTGTTCTGGTGGGACGAGAAGCTGAAACAGCTTGCTTGGCTTGCATGCAACAATTGAGAGTGGAGTGTCGCCGTTCTCAGACCGGGCAAACACGTCGGCACCGTTTTGCAAGAGCAATCTGATGATTTGTCTCCTATAGGCCCCAAACCCGTCTGCATCGCACGCGGCGTGCAGTGCCGTGTGGCCTTTGGCAATATCTAAACGACAGTTAACATCTGTGCCGAGTGAAAGAAGAATCCGGGCCATCTGGATATGACCAGATCGCGCTGCGAAATATAGCAGAGTAGTCTTTGAAGCCATCGAAAGACTAGAGAGAGCATCTCGGGAGACGAGCAGTTCCGCGACATCAAAGTTATCGCATTGCAAGGCGCATGCGAGGGGCGTCATTGAATCTTCTGCTATATTGATAATCGCGCCATAGTCGAGCAGCAATAGAACGACGGAGAGGTGACCGCCCACGGAGGCAGCGTGAAGCGCGGTGCGACCCGACGGGTCAGCAACGTTGACATCTAAGCCTCCTGCAAGCAGTCCGTTGACCATTTCATAGTGGCCGTTCAGAGCGGCCAGGTGGAGGTCATTATGGTATTCACGACGGTCGCCAGGAAAGTGGGTCGCGGAGCGGAGCTTCAAGGTTATGCGCGTGAAGGGATGGACCTGGCTATACCAGTCCAAATGTTGGCGCCTCGCAGTGACGCTAACAGCCGTGCCTACACACGGCTTCGAATGCAATAGAGAAGTTCTGGCCGTGAGACAGGTTGTCTCTGATTCGGTGGTCCGGTTTTGAGGTAAAAGATTGGGGCTGAGATGCAGGTATGTCAGAAGTCAAGTATAGAGATCTGACGCCTACGAACTTGGCAAGCGGAAAAACCACTTTTGTGCAATCGAACTCACGGCTGGTGTGAAGCCAAGGATAGTCATTTTGCCATGTAATAGTCCGTTTACAGTGTGTACTGAGGTGAAGTTAGTACTGGCGAATGATACGTGAACTGTAGACAATTAAACAATACCAAGTTGGAGAAATTGCGTACTCTTCTTTTTGTAGGTACTCCGCGACGCCTGATAATGAGCAGATTGGACATACAGCTCGTCCTTTATCATCCGATATGTAGATAGCCATCTCAAATTTGTCGCCAGGTATACACCGTGGTTTACCAAAAAACTCCCAATTGGCCCCCGGAATGCCCTGTGGTCCATCAATGAACTCTCGATGGTCCCCTTCACGGGTGATGACTTGGACCGCGTAGTTGCGCGAATTTATGAACCAAGAGCCCGACGTTGGAGAGAATAGGTTGACAAGGGTCGCATGCAAAAGCTTCGGCGCCATCAGCGAATTGAACATCGCCGCATAGATGTTACCACGAGCTCACCTGGGGAGTTTCACAAAGCTCAATCGGCAACACCAGTTGGCGGCCCATCGCATCGTCCAGAAGGACCGAGTTAGACTTCCCGTATCTTACATCTAATGAGACGGTGAACGAGTCTCGCGCCATGCCCTTCATCACGATAGCAAAAGCAGCCAGAAGCAGCGCAGAGTGAAAGGCACGCGAAGTATCGTGCATGGTGCATATAGCGAGGCAGAGAAGAGCAGCGGCAGCAGCCTTGCTACTGTCCAAACCATAAAAGACGTCCCCGGAAGATCCGGAAGACGCTCGAGTACTTTCCGCAGAGAGCTGACGATCTCGTCGCGATTCTATATGTCCGTTCACGGTCCGTGAGCGCTCAGCGTCGCGCATTGCGACGATCTCGAACTGCTGCAGAAGCAAGGTACAGATCTGAGCGGATGTGGCAGTGAACTGTTCCGTGATTGACGCGCCCAAGCTGTGTATCTTATCCCTACATGGCGCAAAGATGTCAGGATCTAGCTCTTCGGGAGGTGTATGAGGGAACGTACGCATTGGACACGACCAGGTAGGCCGTCAGCCGCTGGATCGCCGCCGCAAGCTCTTCACGGATGCTCTCGGCGCTCCCGTGATACCCAAAGCGCCACTTGAGTTTGTACCACTGGCGCTTCATTCTAATGCTACAAACATCATCCGGAGACTCATCGCGCCCGAGTACAGAAAACTCGGCCGCGCGTTCGAGCGCGCGGCGCACATCATCACCACACCGATTGACCTCGCGCACGATCTCGCCGCGGAGAAGCGTATCCGTGGTATTCTCGGCAACGCGAGCCACAGATGCCAGAACAATATGCAAGGACTTCAGTTCCGAGTTGAGGGCACGCCATTTGGCGGGAGAGCCGCGGGACTCGTCTAGAGCTCGGGCAATATCGAGGAAGAGGGTCGCTAAAGCGAGAATGTCGCCTACAGCGTTACAGGTGATCGGAATCATGGCTGGCTGGGTAGTAATTCAGGACTGGGTAAGCGAAGAGTAGGGTGGTGGGGCGAAGGAGACCTCGATATGCTCATGCGGGTCCTTATCGTTGGGAAACCAAGGACGTGTTTCCTAGCATTCCCTCGCAACATAGTTTGAGGCTCACGGTTACTCTTTCGAGGGCTTATCAAAGAGATCAAGCGCGAGACATGCACGGGTTTAGGAGTAACAACTTTGGCAATTGAAGCGCCGCCATGGTGGTCGAGAGCCAACTAGCGATTCCTCGGGCGGCACAAAAGCCGACACCGGCGTTATCGCCGAACACCGAAAGCCGAGTGCGAATTCACCGCGGATACACGTATGTGCAGACACGGCCTCGACTTCGAAGTGTGAACGCTGGCGCAGTTGCTTAGCACCATCATCATGACCACGGGGTGGCCCAACTGTATTCAGGATGTACTACCTGCCGGCGCAGGCCTTCGTCGCACCTTGAGACCGGTGCCTCCACCCGACTCCGGTTTCGCTCGTTGACGCTCTCTCCAAGATTGGCGCTTGTCCTGGCGAGGCGCAGTGGCGGGACGCATACATAGCCTTCATTCTACCTCAATTGGCCGAGACAAGAACGGTCGGACACTACGGCAGGGTTAGGACTATGAATTGCGTTTGGTACGCCGCCAGTTCACGGCATGGACTTTATCTAATCCTCTTCAACCTCAGGCGCCCTCGGCCGTACGAAGACGCAGTCAAGCACCCGTATCCTTTGAAATTGTAGGCCTCCAGCCTGGAAGCATCAACGTCCGCCGCCGAGCGAGCCGTCGCCATCAGTCCACGGGCTGTGCCGCACCATACTATCCCGTCTATACCGCACGTCCCAGGTACTTCGACGAAACGTCTCGCGCGGGATATCATCTCACACCTTGCGTCGCGTCTTCCAGCGGGCGCTCCTACCCTCATGCGGATTGCATGCGCCTGGAGCTGGCGAATCGGCAGCGCGCACTAGAAGCAATGCATGAGACTTCCGCACGACGCTCTAGAGACGACGGCGTTCATTCCGGACGCCATATCCTTCTCGCCCACAGTATCGCGTATGTCTCGACGTGGACTCTTCGCATTCCACTCTGCATATCCCCCACACCGCGTCTGCGAAGGAATAACACGTGCATCGCATAGTTCTCGGCCGCTAGCGGTCTCGTACATCCGTACCAGCACAAGACGTGATATACGAAGACGCAGACGAGGAGTACCCTAATCCGCCACCCGGGTCACCCCTCCACTGGCACGTCCGCACCACCACTTTCCGCCATGTCTTCCTCTTCGGCGCGCTACCAAAGCCTCCCAATCTCCTGCAAACGCGGTTGCCTTCCGCATCCTCTTCGCGAAGTGCACCGTGAACCAGCGCGAGCGCGAGCCGCTGACAGGCTCCGCAAACCGATATGCTCCCTCCATCTTCATGCGGCCATTACAGCTCCCGACGTATCCCACCGATGTAAGATGCGAGCACCGGAGTTGGACGCAAGCGCTATAATATACCATGGCTCTTCGTGCGGACGAGCAGATACGAGTCGGCATGGTGCGCCGCACCCGCGGCAGGATAGCGTCGAAGGATGTCGGCAATCTCTTCTCCATGGGCGGCGAATTGAGCACGATGGAGAAAAGATGTCCTCGCCCGTGCGGCGAAGTTCTCTACGTTGGGAAGCGATGCTAGCGTCGACAATGGGATGCACGACCGCTATCAACGAGGCCGATACGAGCTGCAGTAGCGCTTCGGACGCCGAGAGGAGGTTTGCGCGGTCCGGCAGGAACGACTCAGCGTTTGACGACGCTCCTCGCCATTTCCCACTCAGTCCCGAACGCCGACGACCAAGGAGCTGACCCGAGCTGTCGAGCTTCACCGGCCGCATTTCGCCTTGCATTCGTACTCGCATCCACCGATCCCGAGTTCCGAATTTCCAAGGCTTGCGGTGCGCGCATGTCGCCTTCACATGGCGCCGCGGTCCGCTTCGGCAGTGGGTCTGGTGCTGAGTTTAGGTCAGGGATGTGGATGGGCGGGAGAACGGGTGCGGGCTGGACTTGGCAGTTTCGCATTCGTACAGGCATCTGCGCGCCATATCTACGCCTAAGCCCAGAATCTGAAGGACTCAGTCGTCGTGCGGGCTCGCAGCGTAGCCTCCTGCGCCATGCATGGAGAGTGACGTATTCCGTCACATAAAGGGGGCCCGGTTTTAGGGTTAGGCCCGGGGCCACATGACTTAACGATCGTATATCGCCTATCGTTCGCAGTCGTTCGCTGGAGTGTACACGCGTGTCCTTCTATCACGTCTTCGTGTCTTATACTTTCTATACGTGGTACTCGACTTGTGGTTGTCGGTGGTGTGATATCGGTCATATCGTCGCGATGTCAATCACCGTGTTCATCCTTTACTATCCGTCAAGTTCCATCTGTGCATATGGAGTTCGATCGCTCAATGTCTATCTGTCATTCACGTTGTTGAAGCTTTATGCCGATGTACTCAAAACCCTAGTCTACTACATGACCTACGGATACAAAAATGCTTGCTTTCCGATCCAAGAACCGCGTTTTGCTTCGCCATGGTGAATACAATCGCGCTTCGACCCTCAGTCATTTAGCCGCACGTACAAGGGCTTCCAAGTGGTGTCATACGGAACTGTTTCTCCCCGCAAAAGCATGGCTGACTTCTCGTCTGGTATTGCACCCTTGGCCAGAAGAAGCTCCGCTACGCTCTGGTGGTCTTCCGCTAGCAAATGGTACGATCCGTGGGCGTCACTCATTTTAAGATACCTTTGAGCCTCCATGAGTACTATACGAAGGGTTATACTACCATCCGGAGTAGGAGCATTGACGTCAGCGCCTCGCTCAAGCAAAAGCTTCACAATATCGCATCGCATATTTGGCTTCACTGCCAATTGCAGCAGAGTATAGCCGCTTTGAAGGCGCAAGTTGACATCAATCCCGGTCTGTAAGAGTGATGCAACGAGCTGGCGGTTGCCGGCTTTTACGGCTACCTCTAATAGATCAAGTCCTTCCCCGGGCCACCATGCAGACCAATTCAGCATCACTTCGCCCATATTTTCTGGCGGGAGGATGAAGTCAAACAGTTCAAAGTCTCTCCTGCCTGCAGCAATTGAAAGTGGAGTCTCGCCGTATGCAGAGCATGCAAATACGTCTGCACCATTCTGCAAGAGCAATGTAATCGTTTGTCTTCTAGAAGAAAAAAACAGCCGAGGGGAGCGAGGGTATTCTAACGGGTCTATCGAGCCAAAGATGGCGATAAATAACAGAGCGGCGGTAGCATCACACAATATAAATTGCTCAAAAATATAGATACAGTACAGGTGGTTCCGCGGTGAAAGAACACGTCGCGACTGCGATAAACACCTGTAAGTGCAAGCCGTGTCCGTACAGTGTCGTTTTTACAAGGTGCGTATGTTCAAGAAACGAGGAATATGAGAAACGTATAGTACGAAGTAAAGGCAGCGGGCAAGAGGAACAGCGCAGGATGAACAGAGCCACGGTAACAATCGGAAACGCGTCGAAAACGGGACCGCGTGATCAGACCACGCGCGTTAAAAAACGGCATTGCGTCATCAGATTCAGCCGCGTCAACGAACGCGAGCGCGTTAGATAACGACGACGCGTTAAAAAACCGGCCGCATTAAATAACGACGCCGCGTAAAAAAACCCGACCGCGTGAAAAACCGGAACCGCGTCATGTGGCCGAGTCGCGTCATCGGACCGAGCCGCGTTAAAAAACGCGCGCGCGTCAGATAACGGACCCGCGTTAAAAAACAGGCCCGCGTTAAATAACAGACCCGCGTTAAATAACGCAGTCCGCGCGGCAAAGACAGGCGGGTAAAGAACCCGCGGATGCGATGGGCGTTGGCGTCATGGCTCCATGGTCGAAGGAACTATCCTGTCGTATGTGAGTATGTGCAGGTAATATGGCAAGCGCGTGCAGGGCGAACCGTCAAAGTAACCGTCGAGGATGTGAGTTGGCCTTGGCCAACTTCTTCGCGTTCTTCTTCTTCTTCTTGAGCTCTTCTTGGTCTTCTTCGGTCGGCACCAGCACGAGCGGCGCCGTGCACAAGCCGTCGAGACCGTGGTTCCTCTTGAAGAGCTCGCCCTCCTCTCTCGGAACTTTGAATCGACGCGCCCAGACCTCCGCCTGCACTCGGCGGATAGAAGCTTGCTTCAGCGCATACGCGCGAACACCGTCCGCCCAGGCGTGGTCGGCATCCCACGTCCCCTGAGTATCGACCGCGATGGTTGCGCGTAGGTTGGCAGCCCAGCGCGCGAAGCTCTCGCCGGTGGCGTCTAGCGCCGCGACTGACTGCACCGTCTCGTCAGACTTGAGTTTCCCATCGGCGACGGTGTCATCGCCGCTGGCGTCCGTAGGTGCTTTTCCGTCCCAAGTACCGTCCAAAAGAATTCCGTAACAGCGATCCTCCCAGATGCGAACCATCGACGCATTAAAGCGCAGCACACGGCTCATCTCCTCGTCCACCATCCACACCTCTTCCACCCAGTTACGCGCGCGCGCACGGCTCTTCAACCATTCCAGCATCAGCTCTAAGATGTCACGAATCAGTCCCGCACGCGTCAAAGTCCACGTCAAACTAACCATTCGTGATCTTCAAGCCGTCTTCGTCTTCGTCGTCGCCCTTGCGGTACCAAATCCAGGGCAGCTCATACTTTGTCTCGCCGGACGAGGTCTTGCCCTTCCTCTGCGCCACGAACTCCCGCGCCGCGTATACCGACATGCCCTCCATTTGCTCGATGAGCCGATCCCCCAGTCCTCTGCAGTCCGTGTCGGCTAGCGTGCGCATCGTCTTCTCCCAATCTCCAGCACCAACAAGCGCAAAGTATGCAGACCGATGACGCCTGTAAGCATTCGCCGCGGCCTTCACGTTGGCGTCCACAGCGTCCTGGGCCGTTCTCGCGCGCGTGTTCGCCCGCTGACCCTTGACATTGAGGATCTTGAAGCGGTTCAGGCATCCGCGCAGCCGTAGTTGATGCAGAAGATTGTCGAGTTCATCCGACATCGCGGCCCACCGCATGCGCACTTCCAGAGCGCGAAGAGCCGATGAAGCGCCGTCATCGTCTTTGGGAAGGTCCGACGGTAGCCAGAGCTTAATCGTCAACGCATTCGAGCGGTCGGGGTGGCGTTCTTCAGCCGTAAGCGTGGCATGTAAGCGTGGCATCAGGCTCTCTTGTTCGTCGCGGAAGTGCTTGATTTGCTGTACTAGTGCGTTGAGAGCCTTCGTGCGCGCGGTCGTCTGCGTGATCGTCTCGCCGTCGTCTCCGCGTTTTGTCGTGATGCGGTATCTAATACTCAATCAGTACATACTCCACGATAGTAGAAAAAGAAACCAACCTGTCATTCTCGATCTTGAGCGCGCGAAGTAAGAACTTTGCCTGTATTACGGGGCATTTATGTAATAAATCACCGTTTTTACTCTTGCGCGAACCGCGAATCGCGGACCCCTCCCCCGTGGGATTCGGCCGCATTTGGTTTAATTCACCTTTTCGCTTTCCTCTCTCCGCCTCGTCCCTCCTTTTTTTTCTCTTTCATCGTCTGCCCCTTTCATTCACTGGTACACCCTTCTTTTCCGCTTCTTCCTGTGTGCTCTGGTTATTGCTCTACCGTACGTTCTCTGTTGATCTCTTGCTTCCCACGGGGGCAGGGTTTTCTCACGCTGCGTGCTGTTCTTGCCCTCGCTTCGTGTTTCTTCCCACGTCGGTCATGCCTCTGACTCGTCGTTGCTTGATGCTTTTTGGCGCCTGTGTTGTTGTTTTCTATCTTTTACTTGATCTTTTACCATCTGCTGTTGTCGACAGTGCTTGACTTCCGTTGGGCCTGTACGGTGTTTCGCGGCTGAGGGCCGCATCTAGCCATGCGTGTCTGTACCTGTAGACCTCGAGCACTCAGCATTCAACCCGTCGACCGCAATTGTCACCTCTGCTGTCGTCGTCTTCGTTGAATGCATGTTCTTTGCCGTTTTTTA